ATCCACTGCTGCGTAACAAAACCATCCTCAAACTTCGCTTCCTAAAACAACAAACTTGTATGATTTTGCCTGGTTTCTATGGGGCAGGAAGGCAGAACGGCTGAAGTGGGGTTCAGGATCTGTCAAGAGGCTGCAGTCAAGATATTGGCTGGAGCTGTGTTCAGTCATCTGACAGGTTGACTGGACCTAGAGGGCCCACTTCCCAGGCCGCCCACCCGCGAAGCTGGCGAGTCGGTGCTGGCTCTCGGCGGGAGGCCTCAGGTCCCTGCCATATGGGCCTCTGCACAGGCTGCTCGACGTCCTCATAACCGAGAGAGAGCAAGGAAGAAAGTATAACATTTAATGTTTATGATTTAACCTTGGAAGTCACAGTCTGTCATTTCCCTCCTATCCTGCTGGCTGCGTGGGTCAGTTCTATCCAGGATGTAAGGGTACTAAGCCCTCCAGGGAATGGAGAGCAGGAGAGCAAATCACTGAGGGCCCTCACAGGGGCCTGGCTGCTATATCAGCACGGAGCACTGGACAATGAGTTGTAAAAAGTACTGTGTACAATAGCACCAAAACCCACGAGGTACTTGTATAAACTAACAAAATAAACAAACTGATACCCAGTGGAGGTTTGCCACCCATAAGCTATGCCACATGCAAATAATACTATTTTTTGTTTTTTTTAAAAAAAATTTTATTTAATGTTTATTCGTTTTGCGGGGGGGGGGAGGGGGGGGCAGAGAGAGGGAAACACAGAATCCGAAGCAGGTTCCAGGCTCCGAGCTGTCAGCACAGAGCCCGACATGGGACTCAGGCCCATGAACCACGAGATCATGACCTCAACCGAGGCCAGACACTTAATTGTCCAAGCCCCCCAGGCACCCCTGCTTTTTTTTTTTTTTTTTTTTTTAACAAAGGGAAGAATTCCCCTGCATAAGAAATGAAACTTTTAGGACCCCACCCCTGAGCTTTGGCATCGTCTATGACAGCATTAAGGACCAAAATACTCCAACTTCCACTTTACTTTCTACTGAAGCATTTGGCCTCGGGAGTGGGTTTCAGAATGACTTGTCACCAAACCCAGGTAAGATGGGGACCTTATTGTTCTCTGACCTGGGACAGAGTTTTCCTGCAGTGTATTAATGTGATTTCCCAGGACTTGGTTCTTTACCCATCCGAAGGTGTTCATTACACATTCTGTAAGGTACTTTGCCAATTTTTGATTGCAAAAGGCTGCAGACTATCAAATGCTACAGCAGGGGTGGGGAAGCCCCAGAGCCTCTAGTCTAAATCTGGTCTGCTGCCTATTTTTGTAAATAAAGTTGTTTTGCTTCTTAAAAAAAAAATTTTAACGTTTTATTTATTCTTGAGAGAGAGACCGAGGCAGAGCACAAGCAGGAGAGGGGCAGAGAGAGAGGGAGACACAGAATTGGGACCAGGCTCCAGGCTCCAGGCTGTCAGCACAGAGCCCGATGCGGGGCTCCAACTCACAAGCCATGAGATCATGACCTGGGCTGAAGTCAGACGCTCAACCGACTGAGCCACCCAGACGTCCCTGAAATACCATATTCTTAAACCGGAAGTAAAGGGGGAAAAAAGATGTCTTAGGGCAAAAAATCACCATCACAAAGATCTTACACTAAATTATCTTTTAACAACACAATTCATGACAAACTTACTTGATTTCTTAGCCCAAAGCATTTTATCAGCCACACTGATGGAGAGAGTAGGGTTGGAGAAAAATATTGAGACAGACTCCAGCCACGTCTGGCAGCCTGATATGAAGGTAATAGTAATCCAAAAGATAAGATAGAATTTTATTAAAGCACAGGACGATAATAAGTATTAATAATAGTGCTAAGCAGTCAAGAAAAGATCAACTACATCCAAGATTCTCTACTTAAAGTTTTTTTTTTTTTTTTTTTTTTTATGAATGCCTGAGTGGCTTAGTAGAGTAAGCCCCAGATTTGGCTCAGGTCATGAAGTCACGGTTTGTGAGCTCAAGCAAGTGTCTGGCTCTGTGCTGACAGCTCAGAGCCTGGAGCCTGCTTCAGATTCTGTCTCCCTCTGTCTGCCCCTCCCCTGCTTGCCCTCTCTCTCTCTCTCTTTGTCTCTCTCTCTCAAAAATAAATAAACATTAAAAAACATTAATGTTTGTGAGTTCAAGCCCCACATTGGGCTCAGAGCTCTCGGTGCAGAACCTGCTTTGGATCCTCTGTCTGTCTCTCTCTCTCTCTCCCTGCCCCTCCCCCACTCACCTGTGTGTGTGTGTGTGTGTGTGTGTGTGTGTGTGTGTGTGTGCCGGTGTGCGTGCTCTCTCTCTCAAATAAATATAAAAAATAACAAATAAGACTTATTTAAAACACATAAAAAGCTTTGGAATTTAAAGGGCTCATTTTGGAAAGCCCTCATCTGGAAAGCCAACTTATGGCAAATAACTAGGATTCTTCTTAAGACGTTGTTTTGAAAAAGCCTGTCATATTCACAAATCGTGTTGTAACTTATTACCAATTAACTGGTCATGACAGACAGAGTTCGTGGGATTAAAAACCCTTACATTTTTTTTAGTGTTTATTTATTTTTGAGAGAGAGAGACAGAGCACACGTGGAGGAGAAGCAGAGAGAGAGGGAGACACAGGATCAGAAGCAGGCTCCAGGCTCTGAGCTACCAGCACAGAGCCTGACGCGGGGCTCTAACCCATGAACTGCGAGATCATGACATGAGCCGAAGTCGGATGCTTAATCAACTGAGCCCCCAGGCGCCCCGAAAACCCTTACATTTATAATCTTTCGCATTCATTACTGTCAACGATCTTCTTACTGGATCCATTTTGAGAAGGCAAATACTGATATTTTAACTTGTCCTATTGAAATGATACAAAACATGCCAGGGCTTAAAGGGACCCTCATTCTTTGCCAGAGCGTGTGTGCCATCTTGGGGAGGTGGTGTAGAATAATGATTGAAAGTGGAGGATCCATGGTCAGTTGCTGAGTTCAAACCCTTGCTCTGCCATTTACTAGCTGCGTAAATGGCTCAACGTGTCTAACTCTGCTTCCTCCTTTCTAAAGTGGGATTAATCGTTAATATCTGCTTCATAGGATTATCGTAAGGATTTAACAAACTAAAGCATGTAAAGCGCTTGCAAAGTGTCTGAATGTACATTGAGAGGAATAACTATTTGCATAATTGGTACTAATTATGATTTTTAGTATTTCAGCGTGGATGCCCCCTGCTGGTTCTGAAGAACACATTGAACTTTTTTTTTAATGTTTATTTATTTTCGAGAGAGAGACAAAGTGTGAACAGGGGAGGGGCAGAGAGAGAGAGAGAGAGACATAGAATTTGAAGCAGGCTCCAGGCTCTGAGCTGTCAGCACAGAGCCTGACACGGGGCTAGAACCCATGAACCGTGAGATCATGAGCTGAGCCGAAGTTGGGCGCTTAACCAACTGAGCCACCCAGGCACCTCCACAATGAATGTTTTATTTAGCAACTTGACCTAAGTGAAAATTTCAGGTCATTTTGGGGTAATCCTCTACTGACAGAATAATCTCGTGTGTTTTTACCACCCTAGAAAATTTAAATGATTTGGAATGCTCTTAATGACCTGATTTGGGAATACTCTCAAGTCGACTCTAAGGAAGAATGCTGTTCAGGTCCCCTTACATGGCACCCCTTTATATGCATGAGCCTCTCTGTTTTCAAGAGTCCCTTGGAGATGCCGTCATGCAAGTGACTGACTCGGGGGACTTCACTTCTTAGTATCATTAGATCCTTTTCAACGTCTGGTACCCTCATTCAACAAGCCGAAGGTAGTCTTTGCAGGGATTTTCACTACGAAAAGCAAGCTTCAGCTTATTAAATAGAATCAAGTGGCATCACGCGCAGATCTCCCATTATCTTTCCATTAACATGGACACTGGCCCGTTTTCTGGCTGTTGCGTTCCTGCCACCGCCTGTCTTTGTCATGCAGCAAGCACTCCCCGAGTCAGAACACCTCCGCGCAGAAAGTCAGTCTGATCTCTCCTGGGCCTCCGGCATCTCACAGATAACAAGCTTGATGCAGGAAAACATTTGGCTTTTTGCAGTGATGGATTTCTTTCGTGGAGCTTCTTCCATAACTTGAGGACGATCTTTGCAAGAGAAGCTCATTCCCACAGATGTTCTTTTCTTCTTCCACGACAGTTACGTCCGGGGCCGGGCTTATTCGCCCACAGGTCACGGAGCTTCGGACAGAAGCAGCCGTGCGCCGGTTTCCGCTGGCCGCGTTTCTCCTGGATCCTTCTCCCTTAGCCAAATGTCTTCAACCCCCCTTCCCGGCACACTTGGCTTTGAGAGGAGTCTGAGCGCTAAGAGGCTCGCTGTCGGCAATCAGCTTTTTGCTGTGTTTCTTCCAGTTCCCTTGCTCACGGACCTCTGCGCCCTTCTCCACCTGTTCGGTCAGACTCCGCTCCCTGCACCTGCTCCTGACGGGTCCTGTGCGTCTATCTGCTTGAGCAGAAGCCTCCGGTCCTGGCTGGCAAGCCCGGGGACCTTGCTAGGTATCCCGTGTCGACCCCTGGCGTCATTGCATCTCCTCTACCAGAGGTCCAGCGGGCATCTCGGTCCTTCGCGGGCCAGCGGCCACACCCCGCCTCGCCTGCGGCCCGGGCCCTCCTAGCCTCCCAGGCCTCAGGCCTCTCCACCTGACCTGCTCCCAGACCCTTGGGGCCTGGGGACCTTCCCGGTGCCGCCCAACGACTAGCACCCGGAAGCTCGAGCAGCCACCGCGAGCCAGCCGACCCCTGGGGTCGCAGCCACTTAGACGTAACTTGGCAAATCCCGCCCCCCGCAGCACTTCGGCCAATCGAGGCTGGCCACCGGCTGAGAGGCGGCAACTCCGTCCAATCGCGTCTCACCGACCCGGGGGCTCGCCGAATCACAAGGGGAAGCAGCCAATGATGCCTCCAGGAGAAACAAGGAAGGCGGGAGAAAGAGAGGGGGTGTGGCCACAGGCCCCGCCCCCCACGCTGTAGGAGAGGTGGTGCGCCTGCGTGAAGGAGGCTGAGGCAGTAAGGCGGAGGCGGGACCTAAGGTGGGTGTCTGCTCCTCATCCTTTCTTTGCAAGAATCTTTTATTTATTTTATTTTATTTTTTAATGTTTTATTTATTTCTGAGAGAGAGAGAGAGAGAGACAGCATGAGCAGGGGAGGGACAGAGAGAGAGGGAGACACAGAATCTGAAACAGGCTCCAGGCTCTGAGCTGTCTGCACAGAGCCCGACGCGGGGCTCGAACTCACGAACCGCGAGATCATGACCTGAGCCCAAGTCGTGCGCTTAACCGACTGAGCCACCCAGGCGGCTCCTGCAAGAATCTTTTAAAAGCGCTGGTCTTACTGTGAGAGCTAGTCCACTTATCCAAGCACTGCACGTGACATTTTCTATTTATGTTTATTATATTTAAAAATATTTTTAATGTTTATTTATTTTTGTGAGAGACACACAGAGACTGTGAGCAGAGGAGGGGCAAAGAGAGAGGGAGGCACAGAATCTGAAGCAGGCTTCAGGCTCCGAGCTGTCAGCACAGAGCCCGACGCGGGGCTTGGACCCACGAACCGTGAGATCATGACCTGAGCTGAAGTCTGACACCTAACCTACTGAGCCACCCAGGCGCCCCTATTTATGTTTCTAAAAACAACAACAACAAAACCCGCAGCGTATTACATTTTACTAATATGTGTTATAAAATATTGGTCCTCAGCTGAGTGAAGGCGCCAGGGTCAATCTGTATAACACATATAAGTAAAGTGTAATTATCTCTCTGATTTTTTTTTAAGAATAAAAATAAGCATAAATACAAGGATCCTGTTTTCCACTCACACCCCAGTGGGCCAGCTGGCATCCTCCCCAGGGCACCAGGGCCTCACTTCGGAGACTCTGCTCTAGAACAATTTCTTTTGTTGTCTGTAAAGAGGTAGGAAAGGAGTAAATGTATAAGTAGACTTTGGAGACAGACTACCTACCTGGTTGAAGCCCTGTGTCTGCTGTGTACTTGCTGTATGATCTCAGCCAAGTCACTTAACGTCTCTGCGCAATTTCCTCATCTTTACAATAAGAGTATTAACAGTACCGGGGCGCCTGGGTGGCTTAGTCGGTTAAGCGTCCGACTTTCACTTAGGTCATGATCTCGCGGTTCGTGGGTTCAAGCCCCGCGTCGGGCTCTGTGCTGACTGCCAGCTCAGAGCCTGGAGCCTATTTCAGAGCCTGTGTCTCCCTCTCTCTCTGACCCTCCCCTGCTCACGCTGTCTCTCTCTCTCTCTCTCTCTCTCCTAGAAATAAATAAAAATTTAAAAAAAAAAAAGAGTATTAACAGTACCTCATAGGGCTCTAGTGAGGATCAAACGAGTTGATATGAAAGTGCTTAGAACAATGCCTAACCTAAAGTCAGCACTTAGTCAACGATAATAATGTTGAGTGGGTGAGTGTAGTCTCAGAGCAACTAGGGACTCTGACATCCATCCTTACTTTTCTTTAAAAAATTGTTTTTGGTGTTTATTTTTGAGAGGAAGAGACAGAGTGAGAGAAGGGGAGGGGCAGAGAGAGAGGGAGACAGAATCAGAAGCAGGCTCCAGGCTCTGAGCTGTCAGCACAGAGCCCAATGCCAGGCTCAGACTCACAAGCCGTGAGATCATGACCTGAGCTGAAGTCGGACACGTAATCCACTGAGCCACCCAGACGACCCTGTCCTTGCTTTTCCGTTATAGGTTTTGACTTGAAAAGATCAGATTCCACAATGATTCTGCAGCAGGAGACTTTCACCTCCTAAAATTTACAAAAACTTTCTAAGCCTCAGTTTCTCCTCTGTGAATGAGAGCTGATGTGAGCGTAAAATGACAATATGCCTGTAACTTCCTCAGCACAGTGTCTGACATTTATGAGATGCTCACTCAGTAAATAATACTGTAAGAGAGACTGTTCAGTGTTCAGCAATTCCCAATTCCTTCTCCTCCAGGGGGCGCACTCGACTAATTCCCAGCCTCCCATGCAGTCGCGTTGGACCACAAGATGGAGTTCTGGCCAATGGAATGTGGGCAGACGGGATGGGCACACCCCCAGGCCCGCCTTCCTCTCCAACGCCTTGTCAGCCCAGCTGAGAGTGACAGTGGAATCAGAACAAGGCAGGTCCCTGAATTCCTGTAAGTCCTCTTGGAACAGAGCAGCTCCACCAGGAAAACACTTGGGAGGAAAATAAAAAACAAACTTTTATTGTGACGCACCGCTGAGATGCTGGGGTTGTTGGTCACTGTCAAGGGTCAATCAAATACACAGTCATTTCTATTATTCCTGTAATACTATTACTTATTTTACTTTCTTCTCCCTCAGCACTTCTGGTTTAGTTGCCACAAGATTGATCGCACTTTTTGAGGGTGTGTTATTTTGTGAGGGCATTTTGAATGTGTGTACGACAAGATTGGAAGCCCCTCTCTGAGCTCTGTATCTTTTCTGTGCCCTCCCCCCAGCCCTGTGCCTCACATTCACGGAGCCCAGTTCCTCCGGCAATCCCTGTGCAATGATGAGAGTGGTAAGTAGCTATATGTGGGCACAAAAGTTGTTTCCTACTTTATTGACTTGTTATTTCACCTACTTTTTCCCTCCCCGCCCCCCCCTTTTTTTTTTTTTATGGATTCCTTTGTTCATCCATCCACTTATCGATTTAACAAATATCTGCTGAGCTCCTACTCTGTGCTGGGCACTGTATGAGACTCAGAAGCATAGATCTGAACCATCCCAGTCCACTGGGATCTTACAGTCTAATGGGCAAGGAAGACAAGCAAACAGTGTCATTGATGTAAAACACTAGCCCATGGGCTTCATGAACATTGTATGTCTTGTAAGTCACGGCATCCCTGGCCTTGGTGCTGACCAAGTGATAGAAGTAAGAAGACGGTCCTCTGGCAATTTGGAGGTGGGAGCCCACAGGGAAGGATTCTTGAAGGAAGTGATGTCCAAGCTGAGGGCTGAGGATTGAGTAGGACTCACCCAAGCAAAGGAGGTTGTGTGGGCAAAGGGAGAATTTATTGTAGGCAGAGAGCACAACTCCCAAGTCTGGAGGGGAGAAAGCCATGACTCAGGAAAGTGAGGAGGTAGAGAGAAGTCTGGAGAGGTCATGAGGGGCCAGAGTATATTCTGGAATGCCAAGGAATATGGCCAAAGGTGTGAAGGCCTGGTAAGACTTCCAGCTGGTATTTCGCTGGTTAATTCCTCCCCTTGAAAAGGATAGAAATGGCATGGGAGTGGCTCAGCTCAGCCTCTCAGGGCTGGGACAGGGGATTGGCACCTGGGAAAAGCCACTACTTGCCATGCTGGAAGAACTTTTGCAGGTGTAGACCCTGACCTGTGGGAACACAGCCCAGGGAAGCCAATCATCTCATTATTCTTGTTGCATTTTAATTTTCACACCTGGGCCCCCCTGGCATGTCCTTTCCCCCTCCCCCTGCCTCCGGCTGTTGTTTATGTCAGATGCTCCACTGGGATTATAAAAACCTGTTCACCCAGTCCTTGTGAGAAGGGACACACCGTGATCACAGCCCATCATTCTTAATATACCTTCTTTAGGGGCGCCTGGGTGGCTCAGTTGGTTGACCTTCTGACTTAAGCTTAGGTCATGATCTCTCGGTTCTTGAGTTCAAGCGCTGCATCCGACTCACGGCTGTTTGTGCAGAATCCGCTTTGGATCTTCTGTTCCCTTCTCTCTCTCTGCTCCCCCACCGCTTGTGCACTCTCTCTCTCTCTCAAAATAAACATAAAAAAAAATACACCTGGGGTGCCTGTGTGGCTCTGTCGGTTAAGCGTCCGTCTCTTGGTTTTGGCTTAGGTCATGATCTCATGGTTTGTGGGTTTCACTCTGCTGTGAGTGCGGAGCCTGCTTGGAATTTTCTCTCTCCTTCTCTCTCTGCCCCTCCCCCACTCACGCTCTCTGTCTCCCTCTCTCAAAATAAATAAACTTAAAAAAATTTTTTTTAATTAAAAAAATACATCTTCTTTAGACAGACTTGTACTCAGCTACTCACCCACTGGCCCAGGCAAAAAGGGACAGTGTGTCATCATTCAGTTTGTTGGTTCTGGAAAGTCAACAATAAATAGGTTCATATAGACAGCCTAGTTATTCACACTTGTTTACAAAATTTCCTTAAACTTTCCTTTAATTGTTTTCCATTTTTTCCCCCTTGATCTAACTTATGACCAAAGATTTTGCTGCCAAACACACTCAGTATGGTGCAGTTGTTAAGAGGATTAGCTCTGAAGTCCGACAAAACTCGGTTTAACTCCTGGATCTGGTAATCACTAGCTGTCCAGGCTCTTATCTTCTCTGAGTCTTGCTTTTCTCATCTGTAGAATGGGGATGTTAGATTCAATAAGACAATGTATGTCAAATGTTGGCACGTCGTTTGGCATGGTAGGAGGAAGCCCGTGTTCAAGATTCAAGTGGCACCTGGGTGGCTCAGTTGGTTAAGCATCTGACTTTGGCTCAGGTCATGATCTTGCTGTTTGTGGGTTCGAGCCCTGCCTCGGGCTCTCTGCTGTCAATGAAGAGCTTGCTTTGGGTCCTCAGTCTCCCTCTCTCTCTCTCTCTCTGCCTCTCCCCTGATTGTACTCTCTTTCTCTCTCTCAAATAAGCTTAAAAAAAAAAAAAAAGATTTAAAAAGTGTTTATTGAGCCCCTACTATGAGTCATATGCTCCAGAAATAATTCAAAGTCAGCCTGCTTCTTCTGGGTAGTTTATCTGTTCTGCTTTTAAATTACCATGAAGGAGGGGCGCCTGGGTGGCTCAGTCAATTAAGCATCCGACTTCAGCTCAGGTCATGATCTCACGGTTCGTGGGTTCAAGCCCTGCGTTGGGCTCTGTGCTGACAGCTAGCTCAGAGCCTGGATCCTCGTCGGATTCTGTGTCTCCCTCTGTCTCTGACCCTCCCCTGCTCATGCTGTCTCTCTCTCTCTTTCAGAAATAAATAAAAACATTAAAAATTTTTTTAAAAAATTACCATGAAGGAAATGAGCTTAAGTGAGTAGTTTTCAAAGTGTGGTCTGCAGACTCCTACGTGGGGGGGGGGGGTAGGGGGGGGAAGGGGGTGGTCACTGAGATCTTCTCAGGGACCTGCAAGGATGAACACTATTGTCACATAGTACTGAGATAGGATTTGCCTTTTTCATTGTGTGAACGTTTTTGCACGGATGGTACAAAAGCAGCAGTTGGTAAAAGAGCTGGCTCCTTCAGGCGAATTAAGGCGGTCGCTCCAAGCTGTACTAGTGACCATGGCATTCTCCAACTGCCACTTCTTGCAGGAAAAAAAAAGCCAGTTCTATTCAAGAGTGTCCTTGATGACCAAGTCCTTGAGTAACAAACGTTTTTATTAAATCTCAGCCCTTGAGGACATACCTTTACAGTATTCTGTCTGACGAGATGAGAAGTACCCAGAAGGCACTTTTCTGTGACTTACCAGAGTACATTCATTGTCTCCAAGAACAGAGCTTGGAGGATGGAGTCGCCAGCTGAAGTGGACCACCATTTTTATCCGACAAACCATGGTGATTCAGACTAGACAGATTTGTTTTTGAAAGTGAACAAAGGGAGCCTGTCCTTTCAAGGAAAAGCAACTGCCAGGATTCGTTGCCACTGATATAATTTGAAATTGCAGGCCAAAGTTAGAATTTTGGAAAACTTGTGGGGCGCCTGTCTGGTGATGTCGGTTGAGCATCTGACTCTCGGCTCGGGTCATGATCTCACAGTTCGTGAGTTCAAGGCCCCATCGGGCTCCCTGCTTATGGTGCACAGCCTGCTTGGGATTCTGTCTCTCCTTCCCTCTGCCCCTCCCCAACTTGTGCTCACTCTCTCTCTCTCTCTCTCAAATAAATGAATAAACTAAAAAAAAAAAACCATAAAAAAAAGAATTTTGGAAAACTTGTATCAGCCATTGTGAGCTTGACAGTTGCCTAGTTCATTTCTAAGGTTTTGGTGATGGTATTAACAAATGTGATCTGGAAGTGCTGTCTAATTAAGTGTGTCAGCATCTGGCAGATCTGCCTGAGTCTGTGAATCAGTCTTTTCCAAATGACCAGTGCATGATATTACAAAATGAGTGAAGGACCCATTGAAAAGGAAAGATAGACCAATGGGTTTTGAGATCACAGAGTAAGAAAAGTGCATTCTTATGCAGCTCCACCTTCAACATGGCCACTAAGAAACTAAAACTCATCGAGTTTTGGTGCACTGTTAATGCATAATATCCACAATGATCGGCAAAGGCTGTTGGAATAGCCCTTCCTTCTCCAACAGTGTGCTAATGTTCAGGCCACATTTTCTTTATATACGTCAACCAAAAGACCATTTCACAATAGATTGATTTCAGAAGTAGCTATGAGCATCCAGCTGTTTTCCTTTAAGCCAGACGTTAAAGAGATTTCTAAAGAAAAAATGTTAATGCCTATTTCCTTGGTAGAAAAAAAAAGATGTTTTGGAAACATTGAATCATTTTCATAAAACCATAGTATTTACGTGAATATGTAATGGGTTTATTGTTATTTTAAATTACATAATATTTAATTTAAGGTCTAATATGGTACATAGAGATGGTTATAATGCACATAAACAAAAATCTCTTTGGGGTTGTGTGAAGATTGAAAAGGAATTCTCATACCGAGAGGGTTTAGAAGCACTGGCTTAGATTGTCTATTACGGGCTGGAAACTGTTCAGACTATTTCATGAATACTGTCATCTGAGCCCCTTACATCAAGCCAGTGTGATATTTTGCGTGAACTGCCCATTCCAGAGTCTCTACCTGCCACTACGGAGTCCAAAGCCACCTCGCTTCAAAAATCCTAAGCCTCTGGGGTGTGTGGGTGGCTCAGTCAGTTAAACGCCTGCCTTCAGCTCCGGTCATGATCTCACAGTTGGTGGGTTCACGCTCAGCACTGTGCACCCCTCATCTCTGTCTGGTTTCAGGATTGTGTCATCATCCCAGTAGGAAATCCCATACCCATTAAGCAGTCACTCCCCCTGCCCCCTCCCCCACCCCTCACAAACACTAATCTGCTTTTTGTGTCTAAGGATTTGCCTCTGCTGGCAATTTCATGTCAATGGATCATACAGTAAGCGACCTCTGTCACCGGCTTCTTTCTCTCAGCCTAATGTTTTCAAGATCCGTTCATGTTGTAGCGTGCAAAGTCCTTCATTCCTTTTAGTGGCTAAATACTATTTCAGGATGGATCTACCACATGTGGTTTAGCCACTTGTCAGTGGATGGACATTTGGGTTCTTTTTGCCTTTTGGCTCTTGTGAATACTGTGGCCATAGACATTCATGTATATATTTTGTTTGAACATCTCTTTTTGATTCTAGATATACCTAGGAGTAGAATTGCTGGGTTGTAGGATAATTCTTTTTTTTTTTTTTTTTAAGTTTATTTTATTTTGACAGAAAGGGAGAAAGAGAGGATCTCAGGCAAGCTCTGCATGTGGCTCTGCATGCAGGGCTTGAACTCACAAACAGTGAGATCATGACCTGACTCGGAACCAAGAGTCAGA